AGACAGAGTCTCACTTTATCACCCAGTCTGGAGTGCAGTGGTGCAATCTTGGCTTACTATAACCTCTGCCTCCCAGGTTCAAGCAATTCTCCTGTCTCAGCCTCCCAACTCCCAAGTAGCAGGGATTACAGGTGCCCACCACCACACCCAGCAAATTTTGTGCATGATTTTGGTAGAGACAGGGTTTCACCATGTTGGCCAGGCTGGTCTTGAACTCCTGACCTCAAGTGACCCACCCACCTCAGCCTCCCAAAGTGCAAGGATTACAGGTATGAGCCACTTCAACCGGCCGACTAATTACATTCTTAAATGCTTTGGATTCTTCTGAGTATTCTTTACCATCGATAATCAAAATATAACATCTATTATTATCTGGTGTTATATAATAAAATACCTATTATTTTAAAAAATTTAAATTAAAATACAATAAAGCTATATACTGAACCTTAAAGCATAAGAGAGAAGAAAGAGGGGAAAAGATCAGCATTTATTTCTATGTAAGTTTTACCTTACCTTTAAAAGTTCTAGATTTCCCTCCTTTGCCATGGGCACGCCCTTTTTTACTGGATACCCCATTCGAACGGGAAGAGGTACTGCAGAGGGTTTAAATGGTGCTGCAACAGGGTAAACACTAGCCCAGTCCTGGTCAACAGCCATTTTCTCTGTCCTAGGAGGTAGTGCCTAAGAAATAAAATCTTTTAGTATTTCAAATATAAATACATTCTTTAATTTTTAGAGAATTTTAATTTTAAAGCAAAAAGCTACAATTACAAGAAACAGGAGCAAAACTGCAACATATGTAAAATCTGACCTCCCACAAAACTGCTGCTATCCAAATTTAAAAAACACTAAATCTACCTAAGTATCTCTGCACTGTTTCTTTAAACCCTTTGGCAAGGATCTCCTTTAATATCACATTTTCTTCATTAAAAATTTCTTTAACTAGACTTTTAGCAAAATTTGTACATTTTGCTTATGAAGAGATGAATTAATATATTTTGAAATAGTTTTTCAAACTTCTTTGATGGAAGTCAGTAGTACATGAGGGCATTAAGTACTCGGAAGTAAAGACAAAAGGAAAAAAGAATAATTAAGGTTAAACTGATTGAATAAATACATATTGAGAAATTATATGTCTCCTAGGCCCAGAGAAAAACTAGTACTTGATAGCTTAGTCAATCATATTCACATTTATTTTTAATGGAATCAAATACTAGGGGATTGTCACACGCAAAAGTAGGGTTTATAGTGGCAAAATTCAGCCATGCCCCATCTATGCAGTATCAAAACCACTGTAGTCAACGTCCTAGAAGCAGGTAATACTCCTGAGGAAATGTCTGTTCTTGATGATTGTAACTTGATACCATTTAACTTCCAACTAATGTGTCTTTGTTCTGATGCTATGCTCACCAACTGACCTTACAGTTTAGATTCCTCCATAGAAGGAAGGAATCCAAATGTCCACAGCATGAGACTAAACTACTTAAGACTATGGCCAGGTGCAGCGGCTCACGCCTGTAATCCCAGCACTTTGGGAGGCCTGAGGTAGGTGGATCACCTAAGGTCAGGAATTTGAGACCAGCCTGACCAACATGGTGAAACGCCCCCTTTACTAAAAATATTAAAAAATTAGTTGGGTCTGGTGGTGTGTGCCTGTAGTCCCAGCTACTCGGGAAGGTGAAGCAGGAGAATCGCTTGAGCCCAGGAGGCAGAAGTAGCAGTGAGGCAAGATTGTGCCATTGCACTCTAGCCTGGCAACAAGAGTGAAACTGTGTCTCAAAAAAATAATAAATAAATAAACTAGTTATATTAATGCTTAAGTCCCAGGCTGCAGGACTTAAGATAGCATTAGAAATTGTTCCATATTCTGGTTTATACACCTGTTTCCTAGGAGTTCCTAAGTAAGTCGACCTCTCAAAGATGATCCAGTCTCTGGGTACTGCAAAAAAACAAAGACTAACCTCTGCCAGGGCTATGGCAATCACCCAGCAAACATGACCTTGTGAAGTCTCCTCTGCCAATACCTTTCTGCCATGAATATCTGCCTTATTTTAGAACTCCAGAAACCATTAAGATAGTAGAGTATATGAACTTTTTACCTTTCTTTGTGGCAGCCTTTCATTTCTGGATGTTCTTTCTGTTGTACATAAAAGATAATAAACAGAATTTTATAATGTCAAGTTAGTTAACATCAATCATGATCACATTATTCCAACACAATTTAAGGTATTCAGTAACATAACAACGAAACAACCTTTTTTTTTTTTGTAAGCTCAGGGACCAAAATCATTTTAATGAAGACAAAAAACCAGAAACAGGGAGTCTCGCTGCGTCACCCAGGTTGGAGTGCAGTGGTGTGATCTCGGCTCACTGCAACCTTTGCCTCCCGGATTCAAGTGATTCTCCTGCCTCAGCCTCCTGAGTAGCTGGGACCACACGTGCATCCCACCATGCCTTGCTAATTTTTGTATTTTTAGTAGAGATGGAGTTTCACCATGTTGGCCAGGCTGGTCTCGAACTCCTGACCTCAAATTATCTGTCTACATAGGCGACCCAAAGTGCTGGGATGACAGGTGTGAGCCATGGTGCCCGGACCCGGTAAGAAAAATTCTATAGTTATTTGAATATAATTGCTGATACAGTAAGCTCATCATCTAAAAAATGACTCTTACAGAGTCAAATAAGACAACTTTTTAACAAATAATTTCAATAAACAGTAATAAATATTATGACTACACATAGCAGGGAATTAAACCTAGTCAATTAGCTGGTGTGATGGTAAATTTTTTTCTTTTTCTTTTTTTTGAAACAAGGTCATCTCACTCTCGCCCAGGCTGGAGTGTAGTGGCGCAATCTCAGCTCACTGCAGCCTCAAACTACCGGGTTCAAGCCAATCCTTCCACCTCAGCACCCCAAGTAGCTAGGACTAAAGGCATAAGCACATCCGGCTAATTCTTAGAGACAAGCATTTTACCATGTTGCCCAGGCTGGTATCAAGCTCTTGAGCTCAAGCAATCTACCCACCTTGGCCTCCCAAAGGGCTGGGATTGCAGGTGTGAGTTACCGTGCCCAGCCATGATGGTTAACTTTAGGTGTCAATCTGACTAGATTGAGGGATACATAGATATCTGGTAAAGCATTATTTCTGGGCATGTCTGTGGGGGTGTTTCCAGAGGAGATAGGCATGTGGGTCAGTAGACTGAGTGAGGAATACCTGCTCTCAATGCAGGTGGGCATCATCCAATCAGCTGAGGGCACAGAGAGAACAAAAAGGCAGATAAAAGAAGAACATATTCTCTCTCTCTTCTGGACCTGGGACACTCTTCCCCTGCCCTTAGACATCAGAATTCCAAGTGCTCCAGCCTTTGGACTCCAGGACTTGTACAAGTAGCCCTCTGAGTTCTTAGGCCTTCAGCCTTGGTCTGAAAATTACATGGCTTCCCTGGTTCTGAGGCTTTCAGACTTGAACTGACATGGGCTTCCAGCTTGCAGACAACCTATTGTAGAGTGAGTCAATTCCCCTAAAAATCCCGTCATATATCTATATATCTACATCTACATCTACATTCTGTCTCTCTGGAAAACCCTGACTAATACAGTTGGGGAAAATCTCCTTAAGAAAGTGAACTTTAAGCTAAAACCTGAAAGATGAGCAGAATGTAGCCATGAAGACAGGCAGGTGAGAAAAAGTGTTTCAACAGAGCAAGAGCACATGGGAAAATCAAAGTGAACAAATTCAATATGGCTGAAATTTAAGAATAGGACAGAGAAACAGAGAAAGAGGCGGCCGAAGACACTTAACAGGTTCTCAACTATAATGTATCCTTGGCAGAGCTTTTCTTCTTTTTTTGAGACAGGGTCTCACTCCTGTCACCCAGGCCAGAGGGCAGTGGTGCGATCACAGCTCACTGCAGTCTCGACTTCCCACACTCAGGTGATTCTGCCACTTCAGCCTCTGGAGTAGGTGGGACTATAGGCATGCACCACCACACCTGGCTAATTTCTTGTATTTTCAATAGAGACAAGGTTTGGCCATGTTGCCCAGGCTGGTCTCAAACTCCTGGGCTCAAGGGATCCACAGGCCTCTACCTCCCACAGTGCTGGCATTACAGGAATGAGCCACCATGCCCAGCCTCTTGGCAGAGCTTTTGATTTTCTTCTTCCAGTCTTTCCAGCTCATATAAATGGAATCATTATTCATCCAACTGCTCAGGACAAAAACCTAACAGGATTTTTTAAGACATCCTCAAGCCTCACATCAAATCCATCAGTAAATCCTATAAACTCTTATCTTCAAGATATATTGCAAACACAACTACACCCTCTTCTCCACTTTTACTCTAATCCAAGTCACCATCATCTCATTTTTACTATTGCAACGGCCCCCAAACAGGTCTTTGGTTCCAACTTTTACCCCAGTAAAGCAGCCCGTGATCCTTTAAAAATGCAAATCACATTATATATGTTCCCTGTTCAAAGCCTTCCAATATAAAACCCAAGCCAAAAATCCAAATGAAATGTCTACAAACTCTTGAGAGGGCAGATCATTACTTAACTAACTCTTTGACGTCTTATACTACCACTTCACTCTCTCCTCTACTCACACTTCGCTGTTGTCACATTGGCTTTCTTTCCGTTCCTTGAACACACCCCTCAGCTTGTTCTCAACTTTTGGCCTTTGCACTTACAGTTCCCTATATCCCGAAGGCTCTTTCCCCAGATCTCTGCATGGCTTGGGGGCTCTATTCAAGTCACTCTCACAGAGATCTTTCCTATCTACCCTATGGCCAGTACTCCCCCACCAATCCATCATTCTCAATACTCTGCTTTATTTTTCTTCATAACTTAAACCCTATCTGACATCTTATTTAGTTGTTCGATTGTTTATATTCTGACTTCTCCACCTTGCTGTATCCCCAATGAGGGTCTAGAACACTGCAGAGTATACAATAGGAGTTAAGTATTCCTAGAAAGAAAGAATGAAAAAGTAAAAATAGACAAGTATTAGAACTATGAAGAGCCAGTATGAAGCATTAATGAATTTATGCTTTATCTGAAAAGCAATGGGAAACTATTTGTGGATCTTGAACACGGGAGCAGCAAGACAAGATCTAAAGTTTGAAAACCTCATTTGACTGTTGTGATAATTCCATGTAGGAGAGCAAGAGGGGAAACAGCAAACGGAAAAGAAACTCGTAGAAATGAGATGGTCACCTGGACTAGGTTGTTGGTAATATGAGGAGAGTAAATTAGAGATATAACAAGGAGCAGCACAGGCAGGATCCGCTGATTGATTAGACTCACGCCAGCTGCTCCTCAACGCTCTGGTCACTCTAGCCACACTTCTATCATAGCACCTCTCAATACATAGCACTTCTCCGTTAATAAATCTGTACTTTCCGTGGCGGGGTGGCGCTGCTGCGCCCGCCGCGAGTACCCCCCGCCCCGCTCTGCCGGCCTCTGCGCGCCTGAGCGCTTTTCCTTCCGCCGGGGCCGCTTTTCCTTCCGCCGGGGCCGCAGGGCCTCATGGAACGCCCGGAGGGCGGCGGACGGGGACCAGTAGCGCGGGGGCCCGATGGACGGCCAGCGCCCGAAGCTAGAGTGCACTTCCGAGTGGCGAGGTTCATCATGGAGGCAGGTGTCAAGCTGGGGATGCGGTCCATTCCCATTGCCACTGCTTGCACCATTTACCATAAGTTCTTCTGCGAGACCAACCTGGACGCCTATGACCCTTACTTGATCGCCATGTCTTCCATTTACTTGGCTGGCAAAGTGGAAGAGCAGCATCTGAGGATTCGTTATATCATCAATGTGTCCAACAGGTACTTTAATCCAAGCGGTGAGCCCCCGGAGTTGGACTCCCGCTTCTGGGAGCTCCGAGACAGCATTGTGCAGTGCGAGCTTCTCATGCTGAGAGTTCTGCGCTTCCAGGTCTCCTTCCAGCACCCACACAAGTACCTGCTCCACTACCTGGTTTCCCTCAAGAACTGGCTGAACCGCCACAGCTGGCAGCGGACTCCTGTCGCCGTCACTGCCTGGGCCCTGCTACGGGACAGCTACCACGGGGGGCTGTGCCTCCGCTTCCAGGCCCAGCATATAGCCGTGGCAGTGCTCTACCTGACCCTGCAGGTCTATGGAGTCAAGGTACCTGCTGAGGTCGAGACTGAGAAGCCATGGTGGCAGGTATTTAGTGACGACCTTACCAAGCCAATCATTGATAATATTGTGTCTGATCTCATTCAGATTTATACCATGGACACAGAGATCCCCTAAGGCCCTGGCCCAGGTCTGCCCAAAGAGAAGCCCAGGATGGTCAGCTGCCTGGGGACACTACCACCACGTCGCATCATGGCTGGTCCCCAGAGGGCCAGCTGGGAGGACTGGTTGTGCTGCTGGAGAAGGGCCGGTGAAGGCGATGACATGCTGCCACTTTGACAGTACCTAGCAGTCGCGGTCCCGACGATGATGGGAGCCGCGACTCCAGCGGGCAGGCTGGGAGCGCACTGTGTGCAGGTGACCCAAGGCAGCCACATCTGCTTTTGTCCTTTGAGAGGACTCTGACTACAATAGAGGCATGACGTCAATGAAAGGAAAATCACGAAATAGATGAGACTGAATCCCTAGGGATTTTTTTTTAAACCAGATTTATAGCGAGAATGAATGTGCAACATGGATGAAATTTATTTTGTGTAATAAAATGTGATACTAATCAACAGAAAAAATAAAAAAATAAATCTGTATTTTCCACTAGACTCCTCCGGGGTAAGCACACTATCAAGTATCCCTATAATCTCTGTCAAATGGAAGTCATCAACACCTGTTCAATGAAGGCCACCCATTTGATGGCCTGGAATTCAGGGCAGCAATTTATCCTAGCACTGCCGTATGCCTCTCTTAATGTTTGGGGAAATCCACGGTTCAACACTGCTGATGATCGATAAACAATACAGAACACCAGTTACCGGTGCCAGCGGCTATGGGCGGGGGCACCACAGGAGCAGGTTACGGGAAAGGGGGATGTAAGCTTTCTGAGCAAACGCCCAGAGGAGAAACAGGCGGCTAGCTAGGAGCCGGGCAACGCGGGCACGTCCACGGCTCTCCTATTAGGCTGGCCTGGAAGCGGATGCACCGGCCTCTCCCAGGCGGCACTGGCTTAGCCACCGCGGCAGCCTTCACAGGGCCGATATTCCGCCTTTGCACCTCCCCCAAAGCCCGGAGGCGACGAGACAAACACTCACGCAGGCCAGGTTTCCGGACCGGAGTGGCCAGGTACATGGCGGTGGAGAATGCACGCAGAGTCCTTGCTCTCGACTGCAGAGCCACCCATGCCGGGAGCGTGGCGGCCGCCATAGCTGCAAGGACGGCAAGCCGGAGGGGACACGCGCAGTTCAGCGTCAGGGGCGGGCCTGGGTCGGCTAAACGCAGGCTCCCTGGGCTGGCACCGCCCTAAGCTGGAGAAACAGGAAACACGTGGGGTCCGCATTCAGGGCGGAGTCAAATATCAGGAAGATACCCCCGAACAGAAAGAAGTAATGAAAAGAAAACAAAAAATTCCTTACCAATCGAGTCAATCAGTTCATACAGAATTGCACATAAGGACCATAGGGATGGGGGAGATATGGCTCACTAAAGGCAGGCGTGGTCTGGGTGGAACCTCAGATGATCCAAGAGTCAGGCAGTCTACCCGAGGGACTCCTGGTTCTTTGTAATTGTTGCTTGTCTACATTTACTTGGATTAAAGAAATCATCAACTAATGCAAGTGATATGCGCTAAGGGGAGAGAAGCAGTATACCAAGCCAGACTGCTTGAGTTTCAAACTTGACTTCACCATTTCTGGAATGTGTGATCTTAGGCAAGTTAGCATAGTCAAATGTTTATGAACAGCATTGGCATACAGTGAACACCGCATGTGCATACCCTATAACTTTTAGCTATATACAGTTAGCTTGTTGTTAGACCAAGTTAGAATTACGAAAGTTAGAACTCATCAGGCTTAGAAAATAAACCCTTAATGAACACTCTTATTTTCTTCTTATTATTTTTTAAGACGGAGTCTTGCTCTTGTCTCCCAGGGTGGAGTGCAGTGACGCAATTTCGGCTCACTGCAACCTCCGCCTCCTGGGTTCAAGCAATTCTCCTGCTTCAGCCTCTTGAGTAACTGGGATTACAGGCATGCAACACCATGCCCTGCTAATTTTTCTATTTTTAGTACAGATGGGGTTTCACCATGTTGGCCAGACTGGTCTTGAACTCCAGATCTCAAGTGATTCACCCACCTAGGCCTCCCAAAGTGCTGGGATTACAGGTGTGAGCCACTGTGCCTGGAGGAACACTTATTTTCTGTGGTAGAATGGATGAACATGCAAGCCTTAGTAAAAATAGTCTCTATTTTCTCATTATTTTGTAAATGTTTTATTTATTTTAATTTATTATTGTTGTTGAGACAGAGTCTTGCTCTGTTGCAAGGCTGGAGCATGGTGGCACCACCATGGCTCACTGCAGACTTGACCTCCCAGGTTAAAGCGATCCTCCTACCTCAGCCTCTCAAGTAGCTGAGACTACAGGCATGCACCACCACATCCAGCTAATTAAAAAAAATTTTTTTTCTAGAGGTAAGATCTCACTGTGTTGTCAGGGCTGGCCTCAATCTCCTGGGCTCAAGCAATCCTCCTGCCTTGGTATCCCAAAGTGATTGGACTACAGGCGTGAGTTACCACACCTGGACTATTTTTTCTATTTGTAAATTTTCTGTAGAGTTGGGGGGGGTCTCACTATGTTGCCCAGGCTGGTCTCAAACTCTTGGCCTCATGTGATCCTCCTGCCTTGGCCTCCTAAAGTGTCGAGATTACAGTCATGGATCTGGCCTGTTTTTCTATTTTGTCTCAAAGTGACAAAATTATAACAGTAAAAACAACTAGGAATAAATAAAACTGACTCTTGGTAAGCATGCAACCAGTAGAGCAGAGGTATACAGGTGTCCAAGAATATTCTATGGGCTTCCTGGGGAAAACTTTTTTCAGGTGAACCTCTCACCATTTAAATACTCCGAAGATAAGGTGTGAATGTACATATTATCTTATTAGAGTTCTAAAGTATTTTTATAAGTTACTGTTTTTCACCCACACTTTCATGGGAAAGAAAATCATTGCAAAATCAGGATATATTTTATTTGTTCTATACAATGAAGTTCACTAAAACATTAAAAAAAAAAAAAAAGCCATACATAGGTATTCAGTGTGCCATGGACATCAATCAGTAAGGTAAGGGAGGGAGATAAATAGCATGAGATGGACAAGTATTTGGAACAATCATCGTCTTCATCTTTTCTGGACTTTTACCATCCTGTTATCGTTCCAAAATAGCACAATGTATGAGTTCCCTAGGGGATTGGAACAAAGTACCGTAGACTGGATGACTTAACAGAAATTTACTCTCTCACAATCCTAGAGTCTAGAAAGTCCAAATCCAGGTGTCAGCAGAGTTGGTTCCTTCTGGAGGTTCTGAGGGAGAATCTGTTTCTTGCATCTCTCCTAGGTTCTAATGGTTGCTGGCACTCCTTGGCATTCCTTGGCTGGTAGAATAGACACATCACACCACCTTCTGACCCCATATTCCAATGCTGTTCTCTCCTCTCCTCAAACTATTTTTAAGATCAAAAGCATGGTCTTTTTAATCAGATGGATGTGGGGTTTGATCCAGGCTTTCCTTCTTCATGATTTTGGACAAATCTACCTAACCTCACTGAGTTTCAGTTTCAAGGAAAATGGGAGCAATAATATTTTTCTTAGGACAGTCGTGATTAAAGGCATAAATATAAATGGTGGGCATTGGCATTAAACTCAGGGTCAATGTAACAGCCTCTTGTTCTTGCAAGCTTGTATATTTTAATCAAGTGCAAGTTCTATACCATAGAAATTTAGGGACAAAAGGAGTACTATCATATTCATACTGTAACCAGCAGCAAATCTGTATGAGTCTGTGGCAACCTCAATTCTTGCCTGCTCAGAAGAAAGAATTTGTTCGAGGAGCATAAGACAGAAAGAGAGACCAAAGCAAGTTTTAGAACAGGAGTGAAAGTTTATTTAAAAAGCTCTGCAGCAGGAACAAAAGGAAGGAAAGCACACTTAGTGGTAAAGTGGCAGGCTGGACCCTGCACTCGCTCACTCGTGTGCTCCCTCCCTCAAGGGGCTGAGTGTGGTGGGCCTAGTAGACAGAGCACCCCTGCTGGGAGTCCAGCAAAGGAGCCAGGAAAAATCCTGCATCACTGCTTAAGATACATGGGCCCCAATCCTGGTTAAATATTAGAGTAACTTAGGAGATTTTTTTTTTTTAATTATCTAGACTCCCTCTGAGATGCTGATTAATAGGTCTAGATGTGTTTGGACCACTAGGGTTTTGTTTGTTTTTTGTTTACTTTAAGTTCTTCAAGTGAATCTAATATTCAGGCAAGATGGAGAACCACTGGTGTCAGCTTTAACAAGGATGAAGTGGATATAAATCTATTAGCATAGAAAATTCTCCACAATATATTAAGTTTTTTAAAATGCAGGTTATAAAGCATTTATGGATTGCATAATCTCATTTGTGCATTATATTTTTTTTTAATTTTTTTTTATTTGCAATACAAAGTCTGGAAGGGTCAACAGCAGATTTGAGGCAGTGGGTATGAGGATGGAGGAGACACTCCTGAAGACTTCACTTTCTCCATGCTGTACTTGAATTTTTATACCAAGCATATAGCTTTAAAAAAATTAAATGAGAATGCGGTGTTTTTAAAATCAACAAAAGCTTCACATTTTAATTTTCACCTGGAAAAAAACATGGTGACTCTGATTTATGGCTTTCAGCTGTTTATAACATGAATACTTAGAATTTGTACTAGGCTCTCTGAAATTCTGGTTAGCTTACACTTTAGTATAGAAAATGTTTTCACAAGCTTTGTCTCCCTTGAGTTTCAGTCATGTGCCACATAAAGATGTTTTAGCCAACCACTGTGCATATATGATGGTGGTCTCATAAGACTATAATGGAGCTGAAACATTCTTCTTGTCTAGTGACACTGTGGCTACTGTACTGTCATAGCACAATTAGTTTATTCTTTTATAAATTTAGTGCAGCTGAAGTTATAAAGTGAATAGTGTTTGTAAAGTCTACGGTAGCATCCAGTAATGTCCTATACCTTTGCATATACTCACCACTCACCGACTCACCCACAGCAACTTCCAATCCTGCAAGCTCCGTTCATTGTAAGTGCCCCATATAGGTGTATCATTTTTTTACCTTTTATACCTTCTTTTTACTGTACCTTTTTTGTGTTTAGATATGTTCAGATACACAAATATTTACCATTGTGTTCCAGTTGCCTGTAGTATTGGCAAAGTAACATGCTGTACAGGCTTGCAGCCTAGGAGCTATGCCACATAGCCTAGGTGTGTAGTAGGCTGTACTGTCTAGGTCTGTGTAAGTACATTTTATTACATTCCCAAAACAATGAAATTGCCTAACAATGCATTTCTCAGTACATATCCCCATTAAGCAATTCATGATATAGTTGAAGTAATTCCCATTTTACAAATAAGGAAACAAAGAGTTAAGCCACTTGACTCTGCTCTTATGAGCGTTGAAACTCAAA